CCCTTCTAGCTTTCATAGTCTCTGTTGAAAAGTCAGATGTAATGGGTTTGCCATTATATGTTACTTGGCCTTTTTCCCTTGCAGCTTTTAGTATTTTTTTCTTTGTTCTGTATACTTACTGTTTTGATTATTATGTGGCTGTAGGATTTTCTTTTCTGAGCAAATTTGTTGGGTGTTCTGTAGGCCTCATGTATTCTTATTGGCTTCTCCTTTAACTTGGGGAAATTTTCTTCAATGATTTTTTTTTTTTTGAAAATATTTTCTGGGCCTTGGAGAAGGGAGTCTTCTTTTTCCTCTATACCTATTATTCTTAGGTTTTGTCTTTTCATATTGTCTTGGATTTCTTGGACTCTCTGTGTCAGGAATTTTTCAGATTTAACATTTTCTTTGACACATACATCGATTTCTTCCGTTGTATCTTCTACAGGTGAGATTCTTTCTTCCATCTCTTGTAGTCTGTTGGTTATGCTTACCTCTGTAGTTTCTGTTTTCTTCCCTAGATTCTCCCTCTCCATGATTTCCTCCATTTGTGTTTTCTTTAATTTTTCCAGTTCTATCTTCAGGCCTTGAGTTGTTTTGTTTACTTCCTTTACCTGTCTGATTGTATTTTCCTCTTTTTCTTTTAGTTCCTTCAACTCTGTTTCTTTTATTTCTTTCAGTGATTTAATTATTTCTTCTCTGAAGGCCGCAAACTCTTTGGCTGCATCTTCCCATATTTTACCACAGATGGCCATAATCTGCTTGTCTTTAACGTCCTCCATTTCTTTGCAGATAGCCATGATCTGTTTGGTTTTATCTTCCTCTAATTCTTTACGTATTTTATTTGTTTCCTGTATTATACTCTTCATCAGCATAGATGTAAGGTCATCTTCTTGATTTTCTATTATGATGTGTTGTCCAGGGCTGTTCGCCCCTTGATGGCTGGGTTCTGGAGATGACATATTGCTCTGTCTTTTGTTGGTTGAGCTTTTACTCTGACCTCTACCCATTGGGCTGTTTTAGGTGTTGGCTGTTAGTTTCTGTGCTTCCTGGAGTCCTGAGGTAGGGAGAATCCCCTTGGCTGGAAGATGAGTTTTCCTGAAGAAATCCTCCTCTGCTTTTTGTTTATGGTCACTGTATGGCCAGTGTTTTTCAGGAATTGCCACTGTTCACCACAGGTGTATAGCTCTGAGTAGTAGCTGTGGTCTTTCTTAGGCAGGGGGGATCTCCTGTTACCCATAGAAGTTCTCAAAACAGCTGCCCCACTACTGGGTTTCTCGTTATAAATTTAGTGAGCTGCTGCTGTTACAATATTCCAGGTACAGTCCTCTTGAAGAACCTGCTGATTCCCTGGCTGTGGGGTTTTCTCCCAACAGGGAAACTCAGTCTGTTATCCTGGGGTACACAGTTCTGTCCGCAAAGTGAGAGGTGTGCCCAGCAAGTCTCTGGGCCAGAGGTTGAGTGCTCGGCTCTGGGCCTGGAGAATGTGCACCTAGGTTTAGTTGGCACCTGGTGGCACAGCGATGGTCTGGAGGCTGGGTGCCTCACTCTGGACCAGAAGCTGTGTGTCCCTGTCTGGGATCGCAGCTGCAGGCACTGCTCTATTCCAGATGCTGTGGGTGCAGCCCTCTTGAAGGACCAGAGGTTCCCACAGTTTTGTCAGTTTAGCTGGTTGATCTTTGGCACAGTATCTGAGGGCTGCTGTAATGGCTCTCTGGCTTTTGTAGGTCTGAGGATGCAGCTGTTTGCCCCAGTGCCCTAGGGGTACTCAATAATGGCAGCTGAGCACAGCGCTCCTGCCTGCATTAGAAAGCTAGAGCCTAGAGTCTGCGTGAATCCAGAAAGTCTTTTGGTGCTGGGTGTCCTGAGTGTTAGACCTGATGACCCCCACCCCGCTGGGAGTTTTCTCCTGCCAGAGACACCCAGTGTTTGCATTAGGGGCCACTGTTCTGTCTGGGGTGGCGAGTAGAACCCACAGGCACAGACGGCAGTCCGTGGCTCTGACTTTCTGGCCTTTGGAGCCTGGGTGTCTGCCTAAACTGAATAATTTTTCCAAGACCATTTAGGGGTGGGGTGTTGGCTTAGAGCTCTGAGATGAGACTAGCTGTTTCCCTCCCTGTGGGTTTGCACCTGACAGTGAAACTCAGTCTGTGGTGCCCTGGTGCCCTGGTGCCCTGAGGCCAACAGTTCTATCTGAGGGGGCAAATCAGGTGTACAGGCAGGGCTCTGTGCCTTGGCCTGGGTTCCAGGCTCTAGCTCTGGGCTGGCTCCTGGGGTGCCCGCAGAACCCGATTCTTTTCCAGGAGAAGTCTGGGTGACCTGAGGTCGGTCCCAATCTTTTCCTGCTCCGTGGAGTTATCTCTCGACTGAAAAATCTAGTCTGTGTTGTTCTGGGCCCAAAGTTCAGTCTGAGACAGTGACCAGATCACTCTGCCATGTAGCTCTGGGCTGGCAACCAAGCGCTTAGCAAAAAACAGGATGTCTTCCACGGTTTATTCAGGTGAGTTAAAGCTGATTGAATCCCCCAATGTGGGGTATCCTCTCACCTTTGAAACACAATCACTTGTGTTTTATGGCCGCGAGTTCTGATTGCTGGTCACTGTGCCAATCGTGCTGTGCTGCTGCCCAGAATGAGAGTCCTCCTGGTACCACCATCTTGCCCCTCCACCAACATATAGTTTATATTGCTATTGCTCTGTAGTACAGGTTGAGATCGGGGATGAAGAAACCTCCAGATGATCTGTTTTTGTACAGGATCATTTTGGAGATTCTCGGGTTGTTGTTTTTCCACAAGAAGTAGAGAATCTTTCTTTGAAGGTCTGTAAAGAATTGAGTTGGTACTTTGATGGGAATTGTGTTGAATCTGTAGATTGCTCTTGGCAGGATGACCATTTTTACTATGTTAATTCTTACAATCCATGAGCCCGGGAGATCTTTCCATCTTCTGATATCTTCTTTCTTTCTTCAGAGACATAATTTTTTTTTTAACAGCTCTTTCACTTTCTTGGTTAGAGTCACCCCAAGGTACTTTATGTTATTAGTGGGTATTGTGAACAATGTTGATTCCCTGATTTCTTTCTTGGCCCTTTTTTTTGTCTTTGGTTTATAGGAGGGCTTCTGATATTTTTGAGTTGGTTTTGTATTCAGCCACTTTGCTGAAGGTGTTTATCAGCTGAAGGACTTGTCTGGTTGAATTTTTTGGTTATGTATACTATCATATCATCTGAAAATAGTGAAACTTTGACCTCTTCCTTGTCGATTGGTATCCCCTTTGTCTCCTTTAGTTGTCTTATTGCTTTAGCTAGGACTTCAAGTACTTTGTTGAAGAGATATAGAGAGAGTGGGTAGCCTTGCCTTGTCCCTGATTTCAGTGGGATAGATTGAAGTTTCTCTCCATTAAGTTTGATGTTGGCTATAGCCTTGCTGTATATTGCTTTTATTATGTTTAAACATGAATGGGTGTTGAATTTTGTCAAATGATTTTTTTTGGCAACTAAGGAGATTATCATGTGTTTTTTCTCCTTCAGTTTGTTTTTGCGGTGGATTACACTGATGGATTTCCGTATGTTGAATCACCCTTGCATGCCTGGGATGAAGCCTATTTGGTCATGGTGGATGATATCTTTGATGTGTTCATGGATTCGGTTTGCAAGTAATTTATTGAGTATTTTTGCATTGATGTGCATAAGAGAAATAAGTCTGAAGTTCTCTTTTTTTGTTGGATCTTTGTGTGGTTTAGGTATCAAGGTGAGTGTGGCTTCATAAAATGAGTTTAGCAATGTTCCTTCTGTTTTTATTTTGTGGAATAGTTTGGAGAGGATTGTAGTTAACATTTCTTTGAAGGTCTTTTAGAATTCTGCACTGAATCCATTGGCCCAAGGCCTTTTTTGGAAGGGAGACTATTCATGACTGCTTTTATTTCCTTTGGGGATATAGAACTATTCAATCTTTCTACCTGATCTTGACTTAATTTTGGTAGATGGAATCTATCAAGAAAAATTTCCATTTCTTTTAGATTTTCGAATTTCATGGCATATAGGCTTTTGTAGTATGACCTAGTGATTGTTTGGATTTCCTCGGTGTCTGTAGTTATGTCTCCCTTTTCATTTCTGATTTTGCTGATTTGGATAGTTTCTATCTGCCTTTTAGCTAGTTTGGCTAAAGGTTTGTTTATCTTGTTGATTTTCTCAAAGAACCAGCTCTTTGTTTCATGGATTTTTTGAATAGTTTAATTTGTTTCTAATTGATTGATTTCTGCCTTGATTTTGATTATTTCCAGCTGTCTGCTCTTCTTGGGTATATTTGCTTCTTTTTTTTCTAGGGCTTTCAGTTAGGCCATTAAGTTGCTTGTATGAGATGTCACAAATTTCTTCTTGAAGGCACTTAGTACTGTGAATTTTCCTCTAAGCACTGCTTTCATTATGTCCCATAAATTATGGTATGTAGTACCTTCATTTTCATTGAATTCTAGGAAGTCTTTAATTTCTGTCTTTATTTCTTCCTTAAACCAGCTGTCATGGAGCAGCAAGTTGTTCAGTTTCCATGTGCTTGTAGGCTTTTTTATAATTCCATTGTTGTTGAAGTACAGCTTTATTCCATCGTGGTCAGATAAAATACAGGGGATTATTTCAATCTTCTTGTATTTATTGAGGCATGCTTTGTGACCAACTATATGGTCTATTTTGGAGAGGGTTCCATGATATGCTGAAAGAAGGTATGCTCTTTTGAGTTTGGGTGGAAAGTTCTGTAGACATCTATTAGGTCCATTTGATTTAGGACCTCTGTAAGTGCCTTTATTTCCCTATTTGGCTTCTGTCTAGATTATCTGTCCCTTAGTGAGAGAGGGGTGTTGAACTCTCCCACTATTAAGCTGTTGGGATCGATGTGTGATTTAAGTTTTAATAATGTTTCCTGTATGAATGTAGGCACTCTTGTATTTGGGTCATAGATGTTCAGAATTGTGATGTTCTCTTGGTGGATTTTTTCCTTTGATGAGAATGTAGTATCCCTCCTCATCTTTTAAAAATTTGGAATGCTTCACAAATTTGTGTGTCATCCTTGTGCAGGGGCTATGCTAATTTTCACTGTATCATTCCAATTTTAGTTTATGTTCTGCCGAAGCTAAGAATTTTTTGTTAGTCATAGGATTTCCTGTCCATCTTCCCTCTCCTTACTGGAATTTGATGTGGTTTATACTTGTACAAGTCTTGTGAATGCTTTCATAAGTACTGTGAGTTCACATGTGCTGCTAGTGCCTTGTATGTCCAGAAAATTGCATTCCTTTGTAGTGTTAGGTTCTTTTCTTCACTTTCTTCTACAATGACCAGGTACCATTTGAGGAGAGATACAGATATTTTAAATGTAGTGCTATATATTCTGAACTCTTTTATTTTTAGTACTTTTCTAGTTGTTAGTTTCTATGCTGAACATTATTTATTGCAAACCCAAACTTCTTTGATGAGTTCTGTTACAATGGAATCCACTTGGATACTGAAGTGCCATGGGCTACATCTGTGCAGGGGTCTTAGGTTATCTCCATGCATATAGTCCTTGCTTGGAATAGCAGTCTCAGGAAAGACCCCTATGCTCAGATTTTTTGTTTCTGTTGCTCTCCTTGTGGAGTTCCTGTGCTCTCCAGATCTTACTGTTTCCCACTTTTTCCTAAGATTCCCTGCACTCTGCCCAAAGGTTGCCCATAAGTCTCAGCATCTATATTGGTAGTCTGCAGGGCAGAGCTTTTCAGAGGTCCTCTGTGTCAGGCTCCTGATGTGTTCCCTCTTTTCTCCCTCTTCTGATGTCCATCTTCTTTGCCTTTCTGGATAGGAATTGAGCATTTTAGCAAGAGTCTTCCCTCTTAATTAGTATTTTTAGGTGTACAGATTTTAGTAGGTTTATCCTATATTATATGTCTATATAAGTATATACTGTGTGCATCTTTCTGCTTCTGGGATAGCTCACTCAGGATGATCTTTACTGAGAGAAGATGTCATCTGCTGGTGTGATGATAAGTCACTAGAAGACAGTTTGATATAACCATTTAATAGAATAATAGCAGTACATTCTCTTTAAGGTTTATTGATCTTTCTAGACATTGGTTCTCACCCTAATAATAGTGCCATATATAGCTTCCCTCTTGTACAGCAAGTCTTAAATCTAGTCAGAAGGTAGTTTTTACTCCCTTACTTAGTTAGGGTTCTGTTTCAGAGAAGAAACACCACGACCCCAGCCACTCTTATTAAAGGAATACATTTAATTTGTGTTTGCTTACAACTTCAAAGGTTTAGTTTATTATCATCATGGCAGGAAGCATTGTTGCATGCAGGCAGACATGGTGCTAAAATAAAAAAGCTGAGAAATCTACATGCAGATCCTCAGACATCATCAAAAGAGAGATATCCTGGGCCTGTTGTGGACCCTTGAAAACCTCAAAGACAACCCACTGTGACACACTTCCTACAACAAAACCACACCTCTCAATTCCTCACAGGTAGTGCTACTCCCTGATGACCAAGCATTAAATTATATGAGCCTATTGGTGGGGGGCATTCTCATTCAAGCCACCACATTTATGTGTCTATTGCATCAGTTGTGGACATGTCTTACAAATCTGGTTCACATTGGGATAATATTTATGATTGCTATTTTCCTCAGGTAGTATATATAGAAGCTGCCAACATGATGAAAGACATCCAGTTGTGATGATCTTTAAAAATTTAATTAAAAAATAAATTTTTACTTACTGGTAATATTTTAATAATTACCTGGAGGCAGCAGGGATACCTTATTGATGCTGCTATATGGAGATTGTTAATCAGATCTCAAGTGGTCCATATTAAGTAAGTACATCTTTGATGGAATTTGGCAACAACAAACCTAAAGATTTGGAAAATAACTTGGAGAAATGAATCAGACAACAAATAATAGACCTCACCTAAGATAAATAAGAATCTGGCATAGAATAACACTGAGAGACACAAGTCAAAGGTGGAAAAGTATGCGAAAATATCCTCCAGACTAGTTAAGGAATCCCCAAAGGCAGCCACTGTGGATGAGTTTGTCATGAGGAAATTGCTCTACAGGAGAATAATGTTCAACTGGATAGTCAGCAGCCACGTGAAAGAGAGGACTGAAGGCCACAATTCATTCCATTTTGTATAAACAAGAAACTTAATGTTTTAGTTAATTTTAGTTAATTTTAAGTAATGTTAATGACTGGAATAATGTGAGGCTACTGGCTTCTCTGTCTATTGTTGCCTTTTCAAGGTTTGGAGTTCAAATAGTTAGGTCAAAGGTATTATTATAAGTATCTTGGAAAAAAGTACTTTGAAAAAAGCCATACCAAGAGTCAGTAATTAAATAATTAAGGAAACTATCTTATAGAAACCATGTTTTAGAAAAAAAACCCTTTTAAAATTGTATTTATTTTAAAGGATAGGTAATCAGAATAGATGATAAACTCGTTTTACTTCTTAAGTTGTAGATCAAAATGCACCATCTTTTATGTCTGCTTTTATCATATACTTATGTATTGACAATTTTTATTTCAATTACATTAAATAACTTTCTAAACACAGCAGAAAATAATGTTTTAATGGTTCTTATATAGCACTTAGAAATTATAAGTCAATATAATGATGTAATCTCATCATGTACATACAATTTCAATAAATCAAATAAGCTTCTTAATGTTTGTCATGAGTGTTAATTTTGATTATCTGTGTGATTGGGCTTGGAATCAACTAAGAAAAACATCTTTGTGTGGCTCTGTGAGGGCATTCCTGAAAAGATTAAATGAATGTAGAAGACCCTCATTTAAAGTAGGCAATTTCTTAGTCATTATTCCATGTATAAGGTCTTAAGGATGCTAAACTACTAATTTTGCCTGCCTAATGTTTTCCGTGCTCATCAGTATGTAAGTTGCTGCCACAGGTGCTACAAGCTTCTACTGACATTATAATAAGTGTCTCTGACCTTCCAATGACCATGGTAGATTAGCATCATTGAATGCCATTAGGCATGCTGTGTTAGATTGGATAGCTTCGGCATCCATCCTCCAGGACTAAGTAATTACCAGGTAGGTGCTCAGCCTTTCTGGCATATAGGTAGCCATTGTGGGACTGTATAGTCCAGATGATATAAACCAGTCTAACAAATTTCCATTATAATATGTATGCATTGTTTTTTTTATATTTATCTGGAGAACTGTAGTGAATTAGTTGGGAAATTATCATGACAGGTATAACTTCTCGCATGGCATTTCGTACCCCACTTCACTGCCTGCTTTCCCAGAGGCTTGCTGTGACCAATGACAACAGGTAAGCTCCCACCCCCATAAGGCTTTGCCCACCAACTCCCTGAAAAGACACCTAACAGAAATAAATTTTCTGTGCTCGATTTCCTACCCCACAACTCTGCCTGCTTTCTTGGAGGCCTGCTAGCACCAGGGATAGCCAAGTAAGAACCTGCACCATGTTATATCCCCTTAAACACACCCAACAGCTTTAAGTGGCACCACAACCCCAGTACTCCATTTTCCAGCCCAGAACTTTGTCTGTTTCTCTGGAGACCCTGAAGGAAACTCTGGTCATGCTGGCTGTAGGGACCTCAGAGGCAAGCTTAGCACCCAAAACCTCAGAGGCCATGCAGGCCAAAAAAACAAACAAAAACAAATCAAACAAGCTAACAAACAAAACAAAAGTGAAAACAGGGGAGTAACCCTACTAAACCTGAAGACTCAATATTCACAAAAACCCCAGGGCACCCAGGGCACCCAGGGCAGAAAAATGAAAGGAAACAAAAATTATAGAGGAGGAGGGACATTTAAAAAAATACAGCAAAGATAAAATCAGAAATCAGCATTTAAACATAGAAGACCAATAAAACCCAAACCCAGATGGCTAAAGGCTACTGTAAGAACACAATTAACAAAATCAATGGTAATATGGCATCACTAGAGCCCAGATATCCTAGTATAGTAAACTGTGTATACACTAACATGATTGAAGTACAAGAAAATGGACTTCAGTCCAGCCTTAGGAAGACCATAGAGGCCTTTAAAGAGAAAATAAATAAATCCCTTTTTAAAATACAGAAAAATACTGTCAAACAGAGGAAGGAAATGAATAAAATTGCTGAAGACCTGAAAATGGAAGCATAAGCAATAAAGAAAACACAAACTCAGGGAACCCTGGAGATAGAAAACCTAGGCAGGAGAACAGGAACTACAGACACAAGTATCAGCAATAGAATACAAAATATGCAAGAAAGAATCTTAGGTATAGAAGATTGTTGTGGATAATTTAGAAGTAATTTCTAACAATGCTTATTATTAGCCCTATAATCATTATGACAATATTTTCTAAACTTCTATTATAATCAATAAAAGACACAGACACCTGATAGATTTTAGAATAGCTTTATTTCTCCTGGGGGCATGGCAGATATTACCTTCAAAGCTACCTTTCCCTCCCAAGCTCCCATCCCAAGCTATCTGCTCTCATAATTTCTTAACTGGGTTACTTGCTATTCATAATCCCAAAATACTTGCTAATATTCTTTATCTGGGCCAATTTCCTCCATCCATTCAGATCTAGCCATGTTCTTCTCCCAAGCTAAGCCATCTCAGCTCCTGCTTCTTTCTTCTTCCAGTACTTGCTTCCTTCTTCCCAATATCCTTCTGTTCCCAATGCCTATCTTAGCCAGGCCTACCCTCTTCTGCCCTGCCTGGGGGTAGGCCTTTTAAGCAGCCAATCAAAGATAATTGGGTAACATTTCTTCTTATCACATGGGTAAGAGATAGCTCAGTATTAATGACAATGCCCATGGCAAGGAAGTAACCAGATATCAAGGCACTAAAATTTGCATTTCAAACCAGAGTTGAACCTTCAACCAACAGAAGAGAGGATGAAAGAAATCCATTTATGTGTGAAATAAATGTTAAATATAAGAAGTTTCTGACACAAAATATCCAGGAATTGGGGTACTATGAAAAAAAACCTTACAAATAATAGGACTAGAAGGGCAAGATTCTCACCTCAAAGATCCATAATTTTTTTCAACAAAATTACAGAAGAAAATTTTCATAAATTAATAAAAGATATGCCAATAAACATAAAGCAAACCAACAGAA